CCCCCCCCCCCCCCCCCACTCAGAAACAACATCACAAACATACAAGTTTCAAATATGGCAGCCAAGTTATTCCAATCCCCTTAGAGTTCAATGGGTTATGGGTATACCCACAAGGTGGGTTGGGGTCGCCCGGGTCAGGGGTAATTAAATGACTGATTGACTGGTGCACAAACATACCCCAGTACCCAACTCTCTTCCCCAACTATCCTATCATTACCTGTTTAAAGAGAGCGTACATCTTTAATTTAGCTTCATTTCCTGGATCCTGTGTTAACTTGGTCACATTTTCCTTGGCTTGGTTAAACTGATCACTCATTCCTGACAAATATCTAGTGCTATGTTGCATTTGTGTTAAACTTGGATTACTGCGCTGAAGAATATGCTTGTAAAATCCTCGAGTTAAACTGGAAGTAAGCCTTAAAGCCATTTAAATGTTGTGAAATATTGTATTGAATATAAAAACGGCGACCTTTTGTCCTTTTCATAGAGATTATAAAATTATTTTATAATCTCTATGGATTTATGACTCCAGAAATTGTTCGGCGCGTTATCGGAAGTCGTCGTAACGGTTGATCAAGCATTCAAAATGGCGACGCAAAAGGAATAAGTGGGAATAACCGTAATGTTCTTGCGCTATGTGAAATTTTGTAAGAAAATGTTGTAAAAACTTGTGTTTTTTACTCAAAAACGTTTGAAGAAAACGTGTCTGAAGAAACGATTCAAGTAAGTGATACGAATACATTGTCAGGCCTTAAAAATTTCAATCGTACATTTACCAGACTGGAATCTTTCCTGTGCGCAGGGAAGTTCTTCTCCGCGCAATTTTGACACTTTCTATATATTTATCATTAAATTTTCGAAATCTTCCCCGCACAATTTCCAAACTTTCCAGTCAGGTATATTTAGGCATTTAGCCAGTCACTCAGATTTAATATTTATCTGGCAGGTTTTCAAGACGCAAAATTGTGTTGACTACAGCTGTATCTAGCATGAAAGAGTCACGATACTTATATGGTTTTGTTTAGTAAGTATAAACTATCTTCCGTGGGTAGTGATGACAGTAGTCATAGTCTGCGAGGTCTGTAATTTTAGCCCAGCATGCACTTTATGTACGAGTCAAATCCAACTGCGTTAACCCCTTCGAGCAATCCTAGGGCATTTGACTTAACATTACCTCCATATAGGCAGGAATTTGACGGCCCGGTCGGGCATTTGACGGCCCCGTCAGGCATTTGACCACTTGACAACAACATGCTCAGCGGTTTTCCCTAAAAATATGTGTACGCTCTAGTGTTCAGGAGTTTTCTATTTTACGTCTTTTCGATAGTTTAAAAATTGCTTCTGAATTACAAATATCAATCATAGATATATGATACAATATGCCTGGTTAAACAAATAGAAGAACTGTCTGGCCTATTTTTCGTTCTTTTTAATCTTGAAATACTTGTTCAATTCAATTTTGGGCAAAATTCCAGAACCAGGACTACCCCTATAGCAGGGCATTTGACTGTGATTTCTGCCTGTTTGGGTGGGCATTTGACCAATTATTTTTTCAAAAGTCAAATTCCTGGGAAGGGGGGGGGGGCTTATCATGGTTGGATTTGACTCGTACATTATATTGAAACAGAAATGATGAATGGAGAATCAGGGCCTGCATGAAAACCCAGCTTCCATGATTAGAGACTCTTTTCCACTCATCGCAACTCACAAGCTCGCTGTGAGTACTTTCATCCAATCAGAATGCTCGAAAGATTATTTTAATTAGATGCAATCACTCGCAGCGTGCTTGCGAGTTGGTTTTGCGATGAGTGGAAAAGAGCCTTAAGTGGCTGCAAGAGAAACTACCACTATGGAGGATGTAATAGAAAATGACAAAATGGTTAAGGCTCAATACAGTTTTTAAAAAAATGGAATGCCAACCTTATGGAAATAAATGTGTGACCTAAACAAGCGAAACGATGTGGAGCGAGCCATGTTGCTTAGTGGGGTGCAGGTCCTACTTTGAAGTCCAAAAGGGCTAAATTCAGGGAACACCGCAGAAAACGTCTGCGTGTGCACAAAAAAAATGGAATGGCGAGGAATTTAAATGCCAAATTGTAAACAAAAACATGGCTATTTAATGATTTTAACATTTAAAATCTAAAAAGAAACAGAATTTAAATTAAAAATTACTGTTTAAGGCTGTTTAAGGCTGTTAAAGACCAGGAGGTGTGTGAACATTGCTTGAAAAAATTGTTTTTTCAGCGGTATCAATTTCCCTTGCGTAATTACTGCCATACTGGCTGTCTTAGTGGTAGTATTCTGGGTCTTAATTTTCATCATACAGTTACAATTCTTGCACCTGATTCATTGCTTGCAAAAATAAAAAATGCTTAATGAGATCTTTTGTGTCAAGACAGAATCTTTCCATTACAGACCTATAAGTTCATTGCATAGACCAATAATGGGAAATACTTGCTTTTTTAATTTAAAATCACCTACTAGCGCTGTGAAAATGCCAGCGATAGCCGACAGCCGGCTACTATTTTAAACCCTGACACATATGAACGACGAGGATTGGTTGGTGTGAACATTGAACAACATGAAATGTGTGTAGTTTATATATTTTTTAGTAATGTTCATTTTGAGTTTTTTATTTATCTGAGATGAAAATAATTGAAAACACTATTGAATTAATCCAGCGTTTCTTTTGAAAATTTTACCCACTGTCAGGCACCAAAATCTAAAGATAGCTATTGTATTAAATATATACAGTATTTTCTTGCAATTATGTGAAGAAAATAAGTTAAAAAACCATGATAAGATGAAACATATACTTAAGCAGTGAAGAGCACTCCTTAACGACGTTATATACACGAAATAGCCCAATTTTTACCCACGTTTTTTCCCCGATTTATCTTTTGAGAGCATCAAGTTTGAGGCAGCACTTTTCTTGCAATAATAACAACATGCATCAAGACAAAACGGAAGCTAATTCGTTTTTAGTGCAGAGGTCATGTGACCTATGCACTGACTTAAAATTCAAGTGCATGAGTGACACCGCTCAAGGGATAGATAGATAGAGTAAACAATCCGGGGGGCGTGCAAATGATGCTGTTTATAGTAATTGTTCATAAACAATTGGGATTATATTTTTATTTTCAGTCGAAGCAACATATGTTCTGACTTATTTATCCAACATTTAGAGAAGTTATCATTTGAGATTATCAAATTATTGTCTTTAAACCCTTGATGTTATATAAACACCCCTCCCCCACCACGATATAATTCAAATGAAACAACACATTCGTGATCAATTGACTGATTGTGCAACAATCGGAAATTACCGATTATTCATTCCACAATCTACACGATACCGATGCCGACAACCTCCTTCTCAGCACGAAGGCCCCTGGGGACGAGGTTGCGATGCCGATTTTATAATGACGTCATAATATCAGTTGACCAAGTAAAGGTGATCTATGTCGATTTTTTAACGATAATTTCCAACATAACATGTTACTGCAAGCAACAATCGTTGAATGGCACGCTTCACGCATTAATTTAACATATTGCGTTAAAACGTAACGTGTATTAACATGCAATGCATATAATTTTTAAAGTGCGTATTTTCTCAACAATCGGTTTTAGACAATCAGAAATATAGATAATTCTACTGATTCCGATTGTCTACCGATAAGGCAAAAATCGGCCTGATACCGATTATTGGTCAATCACTACAACACATGTACTGTACTGGCATGCAATGGCCCTATTAGCAGAGCCGTGCTAGTAGATCGTGTAGAAAAGAACGATCAAAGACACAGCATTTTAGCATTTCTGACAAAGAAACAGGTTGTACACATACGAATAACCTCCTGTGTTCACGGACGTTTTGATATAAAATTGAGGGGGAAAATCCAGATTAATTTGAATCGAGCAATAGAGAATCACTTTGCTCTTGTAGTGAAATATACCGAGATTTCAGCTTGAAACATGCTCGGTTTCTACATTTGAAGCGAAGGCTTTTCATCTGGACGTTAGTTCATTCTTTGTATTTATAGTATAAACTCCGACGTTATCTAATTATTATTTTAATCATTCCATATAGGTAGAGTCTGTACGTTTGTAATTTCCATACTTGTCAACCGTGTATTGATAAGAATAATTAAATATTCAAAAAATGTTTAGTATAGTATAGTATTTCATATTTCCCCTTCTATATAAAATTTCGCTTACCAAGATAGCTCGGCTAAGCTCGCCTACCGAACGAATGTTTAATTCATATTTCTTTTTTTTTATGCAGTTTTTCATCTCTCTTGCCGAGTTTATAAATGTTCTATAATTACCGCTTGCAAAACTTGTACCTAATTTCACTCATTCAAGAAACCAAATATTTTTATTGTCTATCGAATATCGGCATCCGCGGCCTTCGTACAACCGGCCCCCGTCACCTCTCCACTATCCTTGGAGTCTCTGAATCGTCATTCATATATACTTTAACATTCGGTAAATTATTGAAAAACTGTACAATGTTAGTTGCAGACCTTACCAAAACCCATTCAAAAAGTAGGAACATCCAATGCATTGACCAAAATGAAAAAATGTCGCATTCGACGTACTACACGCTTAACAAGCCTTATTTATCATATAGGTTTTAAAGATGCAAAAGTGTATCGACTATCTACCTCAAAAGAGCTTCAATACATACGGTGTTGCTCTTCTCACGTTATTTGGGTTGTTTGCTGTCGTAGTTATAAGCATCTCGGGTTCTTTAGCCTTCGACACATCATTTCATTGTTATGACAAGACCATTTCAAAGACGAAGGAGGCATCTCTAATAGAGAACATCAACATAAAATGTTCCCTCGAGTATCAAGAGAAATTCCTCTTTATCCTACCTATGTATGCTATGTTTATCTTAAACTTTAGCATCGTCTTTGCTTTGAGTATTATCTATGCATACTTGGTGAAACATCGTGTTGAGAAATTTGATTATCCGACCAGAACGACAACTTCCAATAATGACGGCGATGAAAATCAAGAGATGCTGCCTTCACCAAATCCCGGCCAGAACCCGCGTGATGTTCGTGAATGTTTGGGTCGTTTTTCAACATTTTCCATCTATGTCGTTCATTTGCTAGTCGCTCGTATAATTCCATTGTTGGTATTTACTATATGGATATTTTACCCAGCTCATTTTCCTAAGAATTTCGCCTGTCCATTGAGTCCTGAAATGCAAAGAAAAGGAACATCCAATTTTAATGTTACCCTCAATTCACGAAATAATTTAACGATTATTGACTGTACAAATCCCATCGGCGGAAAAAGTAAAACCTTGGTCTATATCGTTGCAACAGTGGATGTTTGTCTTGTGACATTGTCCTTTTTGGAACTTGGCTACATGGCGTGGTTGGCCTTCAACGACAGGGATTTTATGAATGACGAAGAATTTTGTACTGTGTACTTGTTGAGAAAGCGAAAAAGAATTAGAAAAGAGGTGAACAAAGTTCGAGAGAGATTCAATCCTGATGATCAAGAGGTATTTCGATTAAAGGATAATTTTGGTGGTCCTGAAATTTCCATGCGACCTCTTGAAGATATATATGTCAATGTCGTCATTCAAGAAGGGAGAGAACACATGACCGCTTACCCGAGGAAATTTAAAAGGCACGAAATTTACCAATGCCATCTCAGAACGCCAAGGACAGTTACTAAGCTTACGAGCACAGCTGATATATTTAAACCAACAAAGGACGGGGAGAAGCAGGCGTATCCGCGAGCTATCCTTGTTATAGGGCGACCAGGAATTGGTAAGACCATGTTAACAAGGAAGCTTTTACATCAGTGGAAAGAAAAAGAAGACGAGTTCTGGCATGAGAAAATTGTAATCTTGCTTCAATTTCGTACATTCTACAATAATAACGACGTCACTCTTCGAGAAATGTTGGCCTATGGTGAAGGATTGTCACCAGACGACTTTGAAACTGTATATAAAGCGGCATTGTCAAATCCAACCAAAACCGTGCTGATTTTTGATGGATTAGATGAGCTTAATGTAGACAGCAAGCTTTTGAGTGAAAAGACAACGGCAATTAATGACCTGAATAAGAAAATGCCAGTGTTTTTAATTTTTAAGATGTTGTTGTATGGTAAATTACTACGAGGTGTCACAATATTGACCACGTCACGGCCCACGGCACAGCATGTTTTCCGTGACCTAAACTTTGAAAGAACAGTTGAGGTCTTGGGTTTTTTCGAGGATCAAATTAAGGAGTATGTTTTTAAATTTTGTGACAATGAAAGTACCAGTAATTGGATTTGGAATCAAATTCAAGGATCAGCCGAAATGCGCAGCTTGTGTTATATACCTGTCAATAGTTATATTGTTTGTTTAACTTTAAAGGAAAGCAATGAAAATGATGAAAGTTGGTCACAACTTCACGAGGGTTTAAACAGGAATATTATAGGAACTATAACTGAACTGTACAAAAGAGCAGTAAAAGTCTTGCTATATCGACACCATCCAGAATACAAATTAAAACCAAGGCCGAGTGATTACCTCATCATCCCTTTTCCCAAAGAACTAGAGAATGAATTGATGGAGCTGAAAGAAATTGCAATAAGTGGAATTAGCCAAGACAAATTAATTTTTGAGAAATCCACGGCTGATGGATTCCGAGCCCTGGCCAATAGTGGCTTCTTCTATCAATTACCACACAAAGAACGGAACTTGTTTTGCTTTCTACATTTAACACTGCAGGAGTTTCTTGCGGCATCAAAAGTGGTTGATGATATGGACAAAGTTGTGCAATTTTTGGATGAACATGTTAAAGATCCCAAGTGGCATTTGGCGATACAGTTTGTAGCTGGTTTAGTTGGAGATAAAATTAGAGAAGATCCAAAAGAATATAAGAGGCAAAAGGTCCTTGCTGATATTCAGAAAAGGTATTATATTTTCCGTATAGTATACCGTATATCACTACAAATCTGTACGAACCAAAGTCAGATTTGAGATTTTTAGTCTAGGCAGACTTGTTCTAGACTGAGGCGAAGCTAAAAACCGGGACCAAAAAGGAGGTGTCGTAATATTCGATCCAATCCTTGTTTGTGGATTTGAGATGATATTTATTACATACTCCTAATTTATAAGTCATTTTTGCCTAACAATCTTATCTTGAACAGTAAAATTGTCTGATGTTAGTACACAAAATACAATGCAGCAATGCCGATTAGGGCACATGACGTATGGCTAGAGTACAGTATGTCTAAGAATAAAGGAGTTCCCTCTTGGTGAGTAAAATATTAAAGTTGCGAGCATTGTCGCGCAGCTCAATCTTGTATCCAAAAATTTTAAGGGGCTCTTTTGAGCTGGGGGCACGGGCCAAAATGCCCCTGCTCTCAGTGGCACTGGTCATCTTCTGAGACCTGGGTAGAGGTGCAGTGGAACCAATATTCTAAGTCCTGGGCAGAACAGGATCTGGAAAAAAATCCGGCAGGAACCGCATTACCGCGAGTTTGTCTAATATGCGAGTTGCGAGTCTGCGAGTTTGCGAGTTGCGAGTCTGCGAGTTGCGAGTCTGCGAGTTGCGAGTCTGCGAGTTGCGAGTCTGCGAGTCTGCGAGTCTGCGAGTTGCGAGTCTGCGAGTTGCGAGTCTGCGAGTTTACGGTGGGGATTTATTGCGTCGAAAACGCTCACTTAAGTGTAATTTTGTATGTTTTGTGACAGACTGGTCTTATATTTTATACTTTGACAGATCTTTTCATTCTAAGAAATGCTCTCGTTTCACTTTTTCGAATTTTTAAATTTTGGCGGGAAAATGACGTCTTCCTTTTGGCGCCAATATTATTTTTAAATTTTGGCGGGAAAATGACGTCTTCCTTTTGGCGCCAATATTTTGTTTAAGTGTTAAGACTTCCTTAGTCAATTTTTCAAAAGTTATATGTTGTGTAAACTTCAAAACCGAAAATATAATCGAATTATCTTTATTCGATCAAGAGTTATAACGGATGGAACGTTCAGATTTCGGCCATTTTGTTACTTAAAATAGCCCAAAATAGCCCAAATCTGAAAATTCCATCCTCTATAACTCTTGATTGAATTAAGATAATTCAATTATTGTTTCGGTTTAGAAGATAATATAGCCTCTTATTTTAGAAAAATTAACAAAGGAAGTCTTAACACTTAAACAAAATATTGGCGCCAAAACGATGACGTCATTTTCCCGCCAAAATTTGAGAAATTCGAAAAAGCGAAACGAGTCTGTCTGTCAAAGTATAAAATATAAGATCAATTCGTCAAAGCACACAAAATTACACTTAAGTGAGCGTTTTCGAGGCAATAAATCCACACCGTAAACTCGCAGACTCGCAACTCGCAGACTCGCAACTCGCAGACTCGGAACTCGCAACTCGCAGACTCGCAGACTCGCAATATAGCCGACCTCCATTACCGCAATCGAGTCTATTTAACTGTTTATGATTATATGTTACTTTGTCCGCTGTCAACCCTAGACTGCAATATATGACGATTGTAGTATGTTTATGTAATTCAAATATTTGGTCGTCATTGAATAAGGTTGCGCGGGGCCTGGGGCAAACCATTCCCAGTGAACCTATGACGTCATAATTGTAAAACAGGGAAAGCGGTGTTTTACAATATATTGCATATACGATAATATGCAATATATTGTAAAACACCGCTTTCCCTGTTTTACAATTATGACGTCATAGGTTCACTGGGAATGGTTTGCCCCGGGCCCCGCGCAACCTTATTCAATGACGACCAAATATTTGAATTACATAAACATACTACGCAGCTAGGACATATATATTCTCGTTTAAAATTTGGATCAATAAAATTTAGGGTTCGTCACTCTAGGGGCCCTTTAGCTGGGGCTCGGGCCAAAATGCCCCCGCTCTCGGTGGTACTGATCATCTACTGAGACCTGGCTAGAGGTGCGCTGGATTTTAAGTTCCGGGCGGAACCGGATCTGGAAAAGATCCGGCAGGAACCGCAATCCACCTTTACTGCGATGAGTAATATCACACTGCCACGTAAGCAAATTTGCATATTTTCGGACATCTTTTGCGGCATGCTAGTAAAGATATACACGTGCGTGACCTAAAAAGGGAAATAAACATACAGGAAAGGACGAATCTGATCATTTTTTGTATGGGAAGTATTTTTAGATGTTGTCAGTCCAATGATAATAATGCCTGGTCGTATCGGCAGGAAAATATATAAGCGTGTATATAACAGAATGTATACAGGGTGTATCAAAATAAACGCAATTCATTTTTGTGCTTAATAACTTTCGAAATACTATTTCTAGTTAAACGCTTTTAGGCTTACTTCAAAGCCTGTTCTTTTCTCTTTCAAACAAACTATTATCCTTGTCTCCAATGCTAGTAATAATTGCACAGGAAAAGATTTAGTAAAACCTATCATTTTCAGTTACTGTTTAATTATGCAAGTTTACTATGTTATTGTTTAGTCGGTTTAAATGTTAGAATTTTCTTCTTTAAACTTTAATGTTGTCGTCACTACATCTGGAAAACCACCTAAGAACAAATTAAAAGTATTTTAAAAGAGACCAGGTTGTTTGAAAATCCTAAACGAATGCTAAAAATCGTCAAAACATTCTGGTGTCTGAGCCAGAGTGTCATCGAATTGCGATGTAATGTAAACAGAAATTATAGCAAGTTGATGTCAGTCAGCTTAGATGGTCCAAGCCAAAATTATATCGCATTTGAAGTTTCAAACTGAGTTAAAATAGTGGAAGAAAAGCCGTAATTATACTTATTGTTACAATCCATTTAATAAATGCAACATTTTTTTGTTTTAATGAAAAAATCAGTTATTTTCATGAGAACGATTTGTTATTCCATCTCAATTTTTTTAATCTCCAATCGCAATAACGTAAAGTATTATTACCCGCGAACCAATGAGTCAAATTTAAGAAACAACCCACTGTTAGAAAGCTGAATGGCTATACGCTTTAAAATGAATGTAAACTTTAACGTTTTCGTCTATTATTTGTTTAGCAATTTACATTTCAGTCGAGGATTGCGCTTTATATAATAACTGCAGTAAAACACGCAATTTGATTGGTCAACAGCCGTGCAGGATCAGACAATCCTGCACGGGAAATTCTGAACAGAAATTCTTGCACATAATTTTACAAATATACTCGCATTGTAAAGTTTCATTGTACGATACCTTTCGACTTTGAAGTAAGTTTCCAATTATTGAGACGTTGGTTTAGTTGTATGAATAAATTTCTGGTCGATACATTGCTATTCAGCAAGTAGCAACGCGTAAGCGTTGAAATTCATCAGACCACGGCATCCAAGTACAACATCTCTCGCTTCAAAGTTGATCAAGCGCTTCGCAATCTTCACATATTCAGCTCGAGTATCTTCAAAATTACTTTGGCTCTCTGTTCAGCGGGTTTTCCATTTCAAATTTCGTGTATCTTATCGAAAAAGTCCCTGTGTTTTCGCTGTATATTTTCGCGAATTTGCGATCAAATTCTGTTCACATATGTTGTTGTTTTCAATAGCATAGAGTAGCGATTCTCTGATTGGTTAATTCACGAATATTGTGAGAACTGCACATTTCATCAGTAATTTTAATCAAGTTAAGCGTCGTTTCACTGTAATTTTATAAAACAATTACCAAATGGTTTTCCCATGCAGGATAGCATGATCCATGCACTTGGGATGTTGCTCGACTTTCGGAAAGCGTAAAATACACTCGCCTACGGCTCGTGTATTTTTACGCTTTCCGAAAGTCTCGCAACATCCCGCGTGCATGGATCACGCAATCCTGCACGGAAAACCATTCGGTATTCCTTTATTTTTTGATACACCCTGTATATGAAGATAACGGAACATCGGTATCGATTTTAGCTTTTGTAAATGCTAAGTTGAACTGGAAAGGAAAGAAATTCGCCAATTTGGTTACTAAATTTGGTATAGACGCAAGTTACCCAGTGTCTGGCAGTAACCTGAGTTGTCAAAGTGTCTTGTCCAGATTTTTAGCTTGCCTATGCGTTTTCCTGCTATCTCCTGTATATTTTTTGCCTTTGATAATCCATGTTGAATGAACGACTTCATTTGAGTTAGCTGTAGTAAGTACAGGGTCGTGGATTCATCATGATTTGCTGCTCTTAGTCCGTATTTACCGATAAAATGAAACGCGCATATCTAGCTGTACAAACTTGTCGCACCGACAGCATGACTTCATCCAGATAATTCCCTTACTTTCGTTCGATTTGTTAGCCTTTGAAAAGCCATAAAACGACACTGTTGTTGAGTCACCCTTATATAACTTTGCTGGCATTGTTAGTCACATACGTGTAAAGCATAAGAATACTGTAATAATTAATGTCTGTGACAATGATATTATATGCTTATATTTTTCTACCGATATGACCAGACATAATTTCCATTCGCTAGATGACACTGACAATATCTTAGATTACTTGCTATACTAAAAGTTATCGGATTTGTCCTTTCTTTTATGATATTCTGCCTTTTATATAGCGCGCACGTGTATATATTTTTAATAGCAGGCAAATTTGCTTACGTGGCAGGGTCATATTACTCATCGCGATATTAAAGGTGGATTGAATCTATTTACCATTTATGGTTATATGTTACTTTGTCCGCTGTCAACCCTAGAAAGTTTGAATATATCAGTGACTATTGTAGTATGTCTATGTAATTCAAATATTTGGTTGTCATTGAATAAACTTTATATTTTTTTTATGTAAACAGCGTTGCGGAAAAGGAAACGTAAAAAAATAAGGGTTTTGGGCGGAACTAACGGGTTGGAACCAAGTTTACGGAGATCGTAGGGAGATCTAGTATTAATTTAGCTGCTTTATTTTCCAAGGTTTGCAGGGAGTTCATAAGTTCTGAATTGTTTTTATCGCCCCAAATTATATCGGCATAGTCAAATAGCGGTAGTATTGTCGAAGTATTGAAAATCTGTCTTGCATGCATCCAGCGGTAAAAAAGATTTTACACGGCGCAGCAATCCCAACCTTTGGTTGATTTTCCCCATTAATTGGTTCTCGGTAATTGTGATGCCCAGATATTTCGACGATTGTTCTTGTTTTATCGTCCGATTGCAAATAGAGATGTTGATGTTGGAGATGGATCTTAGGCGTTGTCTACCGGCGAAAATTATAAACTTTGTCTTGTCATGATTGAGTGTAAGGAGGTTGTTGTTAAGATAACCGGTAATGGATCGTAGGTCGGAGTTGAGTTTTGACTGTAGATCGGAAATACTTTCTGCAGAGTAATAAAGGAGTGTGTCATCGGCATAAAGTATCGACTTGCAGTGGGTCAAGCATTCAGGTAGATCATTAATATAAATAAGGAAGAGAAGTGGTCCAAGAATACTTCCCTGAGGGACTCCGACAGTTACTGGCTTGGGTTGGGACATTGAACTGTTGATCATGGTTACATGGTTACCTTCCAGATGTCGGGAAATGAGCCACAGCATAAGGAGAAGTTGAAAATTTTGATCAAATATGGTGCGATTATATAGGCGGAATCTCCGAGTAGTTTAGCACTAATTCCGTCCAGACCAGTGGCTTTTTAGATCTTAATTTACTCAGTTCCTGCAACACAGACATTTCATCAACTTCTTTGAAATTAAAGGAATGGGGTGATGTAGCGGTGGTCTTAACCGATTTAGGTTTGATTAGATCTTTAATTTTGTTCGCAAGCGTGGATCCTATAGATGAGAAATAGTCGTTCATGATTGTTGCGATGGAACGTGGGTCGTTTACCGGGACGTTTTCACTGATAATACAGGAAGGAGTGGTTTTAGTTGGATTGCGAGAAGTGACTTCATTAATTGTTTTCCAAAGTTCGGCAGGTTTATCTCTGTTGTCAATGATCAGATGTTGATAGTAGTTGGATTTACATATCTTAACTTGCTGGTTTATGAAATTCTTAAGATCGCGGTAGGTATTCCAGTGGTATTCTGAATTATACTTTTGGGCATGTTTTAAATGAAAATCGCGTTCTCGCATGAGGTTAAGAAGTTCAGAGATCATCCATGGTGCTCTTACGGTAGATTTTACTCTCTTGGTTTTCATAGGGGCGTGCTTATTGGCCGATTCATGGAATGTTTCGCAAAACTTATTCGTAATTTCATTAATATCATTTAACGAGTCAACGAAAGTCCAATCTGATTTTCCTGCATCATCTTTAAATTTGCTTTCATTGTAATGTTTGTAGCAACGATAACTAATGTAATAATTACTTTATCGAATGCCTTCGACATGTTCAGGTAAATCACGTCTATCTGCTTACCGTTGTCTAATTTCCGACCTATCTGTTCGAATACTTCGATCAGTTGCGTTACGCATGACTTTCGTGGAACAAAACCGCGTCGGTAAGTGTTGATTTGTTGAAAAACATGATGTTGGATGTTATGGAAAACGCAACGCTCGAGGACTTTGGATATGAGGGAAAGCAACGAGATTGGACGGTAGTTCTCGACATAGGATTTCTCACCCCGTTTGTGTACTGGTACGACATTCGCTAATTTCTAATCATCAGGAAAAACACCACAACGTAAAGATTTGTTGAAGAGAGCGCAGAGTAAAGGAGCGATTTGGGATGATGTTTCCGTCAACAAACGTGCTGGGATTCCGTCTGAACCATGAGCTTTATTGTTATTTAGATTAGTTAATACGGTTATTACTTCGTCGTTAGTCAGTGTTATGTCTTCCAAAACAATTTCTGGATCCAAGTGTTCTCCTAGATTGTGGTCACTATTGTTGTCATGCGTAAAAATTGAGGCGAAATATTCGTTAAAAGTATTCGCAATGTCTACGTTGTTGTTGGAATACGATCTTTGATTTTCACCTGACTTAACCGAGACTTTTAACGGAATATTAGATACCTTAGACTTAATCTTGAAAAACGACCAGAAACGTTTTGTTTGTTTGTTTGTTTGTTTGTTAAACTTTATTGAGTACAAATTAATTTAACAAATATTCATCTAACATACAATTAAAGAGCTGTACTCAAACGGACAAGGCACAAACTGGATGTAAAGTCCATTGCATGGTGCCCCTCCTCTTCCTAACATAAACCTTTTAATTCACAGTATACTGTACAGGGTGTCCCAAAAAAACCAAAACCACTGAAACAACGCACTGCCAGAATCCGAACGCCTCCGCACCAACTGAACGCAAAGATACGTAAATATGATCGACATGATGCATATAATATGAGTATTGAAGAAATTAAAATATCTTTGTAAGCTCATGATTATCTGCTCTTTGGAATTTAAAGCAACTTCTTAAACAGTTTCTTTATTCGTAAAATTTACTTTTGTCAAGCTTTTATGCATTTATAGGTTCAGCAGAGTGCTAAGGCAATTCAATTCCCAAGCAACACGCCATCTCAACAGCTTTGGTCCCCTCTGGGGCACCCTGTATAACATATTTACTTAATAAATAAATATTAATATAATGCATGCACATTAATTTGATTAGTTAAGTTAGTTTATTATTTGTGACAACCACAATCACGTTTAAGTGACCAGGTGCAAGTCATGTCCGGATCAAATACTAGTTCCAGAATATTCTTATACCTCATCTTGAGGTATAGTTTGAAAGACGATGGCGATGTAAAACTGGAAGGATCAATCGAGACACAAACACTGTTCCATAATTTGACAACACGATTAAAATACGACGAACTGTACGTACAAGTTTTACACAACGGAGTTTCTAAGTATTTGGATCTCAATGCTCTACGTGTCCGTCCATGATTGACAAAGTTAACAAAATTTGAGACATCAATGTCAATATATCCGTTCACAGCCTTATAAAAAAAATACTAAGTCTTTGACCTCGCGATCGTACGCAAGAGGGAGCGTATCCAGTTGCTGAAGTCTGTCTTTGTAGGATAGTTCACCGGCTTTGACGCGCAAGATCCATCTCGTAGCACGTCTCTGAATCTTCTCAGCCTTTTGTTTCAATAAGGAACTTGCTGGAGACCAAACCTCAGTCGCATAACTTAACTTGGACCTAACCAACGTCAAATAGAGAGTCTTTCGAACACTACTGTCAATAATTGAAATACATGTTCGCTTTAATAGACTGAGTAATTTGTTAGCTTTCGCACAAATGCAGGTAAGATGTGATTCCCATGACAAATTCTCGGTAATGATCACCCCGAGATCTTTTTCTTCGTTTACTCGAAGTAACTTGGTAGAATCCATATGGTACTGAAAATGCAATGGATTGACCTTGCGTGTTATGGACAGAACTTTGCACTTTGATGCATTAAAGTTCTTTTGATAACTCCAAGAACTAAGTTCTGTTAAAGCGTCTTGTAATTTCTTACAGTCACCGATAGTTGATACGTTCCTGTAGAGTTTGGTGTCATCTGCGTAAAGTCCTGTAGAGATACAATCTGGCACAACGTCTGGTAAATCGTTTATGAATATTACAAATAGCATAGGACCCAAAATACTTCCTTGCGGAACGCCCGAAGTAACATGTACCCAGTCGGAGACTGCACCGTCTACAACAACTCGTTGGAATCGTTGATGCAAATAATCTTTGAACCAATCATGCATGCGGTCTACTACACCAAAACGTTTAAGTTTTTTTAAAAGGATCTGGTGGTCTACGGTATCAAAAGCCTTCGCAAAGTCTAAGTACAGTACATCAGTTTGAACATTTTGGTCCAGATTCTTCCCAATTTCATGGAGGACTGAAAGCAGTTGGGTGGCACACGAGCGGTTGCGTTGAAAACCATGTTGCAGGGTTGTGATCAGATGTTTTACCTGAGCACGCAGACCGTTCCCAACAAGACGTTCTAGAACTTTGTTTATTATGCACAGCAGGGAGATAGGTCTGTAGTTGATGGCTGGTTCAAGGGAATCCTTTTTGTGCACTGAAGTTATATTGGCCATTTTCCATTCCGACGGTAAACGAGCTGTTTCAAGCGATCGGTTGAAGAGGGAGCAGAGGCTTGGCGCGATTTCATTGCTACAAGTTTTAAGGAGACGAGCAGGGATTTCGTCAGGCCCACTTGCTTTCGTGATGTCCAGAGCATTGAGATAATTTGTAACATCTTCGACTGTCACAGTGAGTTAAATTTTAAACGCATCGTTTAAATTTTAATTTAATTGAAAATTCAACAGCATGGTGATCAGTTGGAAACACTTGTCCAGGAGTAAAAGTGGTAACATTTTCGACAATTTCTGGACAGTTAGATAACAATAAATCAAGCTTGTTTCCATTGATGTGTGTACGACCTTTAATAAATTGATGCAGAAAGTTATCCCCTACCACATCACACAAATTTTCTCCTGCCGCGTGTCCGCCTGTGTTAATGGGTGCAGATTCGTCTATTGACCAATTCACTGAAGGAATGTTGAAATCGCCAACCACTACTAAACGGCTTGATTCGCGAGTACTCTTTAGAGAGGAGTTCAGTTGAAAAAGAATTTCTGAAGTTGATCCTGGAGGACGGTAGAAAATGTACAATAATAATGGTTTACCATTAGTGACAAGTTCAACCACCACCATTTCTGTTCTTTCCCTTTCAAGATCTTTACGTCGTGATACTTTGAATTCATTTTTAACAGCTACAAGTACTCCGCCACCAGTTTGACCAGTCCGGTCTTTACGAAAAATGGAATACCCGGTTAACAATTCACTACTGAACACCGTATTATTTAACCAGGTTTCACAAATGCAGACAAGATCATAGTCCCCAGAATAGACCAGGTCTTGAAGCAGAGAAATCTTGCACACTTTAGTGGATGGATCCTCACTCGAACGTACAAAAGCTTTCAAGCTTCTCGCGTTTAGATACAAGCTTTTAAGGTGGTCATGACTTGGAAACGAGGAATGTTTGGTAGGACCAGGGTTAATTTCGACATCCATATGAATGGTTATGTCAAAGTCAGGATCAAAGTCAGGTGGAGATAGACATAAATAACCGTGCTTGTTCCAGGTGGATTGGGGAAAGTGAAGCGGCGCAGTAACACGTTTCTTTATCTTGTGATAACGATAAACCATAACAGGCAACAACGTGAAACGATTATTGTCGATCGTTCTAATCATTCTCTCGTCAAGACACGCTGAATTCAATGAGTCCGAGCGGCGCATGTCGAGTTTTGTGCATATCCATATGATGGTGCAGGACCCCACTGAAAAACACATTAGTGATATGGGTATCCTGGATAAATATAATTATAAATAAATGGTGAAAGTGAAAAACCAAAGGGAAATTGTGCACGAATACTTTCCAACCGATTTTCGGAAATTTCGAACCACCACTGAGTCTAAAGAACCACCACTAGGTTTACGTTTGAAAACAACCATTTCGCTGCGAAATTAATATAAATTTGTTCTGATTAATTTCGATATTGATTGAGATTTTTCTAATTGGCAGCCGTTATAGCGCGAGCGATGACGCGTGTTCGTTTGTTTGCGTGAGACAAAACTTGAGATTCCAGCTGATAGCCTGATTCAAACCAAAAACCGCGATATTTGACGCTTTTTCTTAATGTAGACAACCAAAAATCGTACGCCAATCTAATAATACCCAAGACAATATCCTTATGCACTATTTTCCAATGAAGTCGAAACTTTAACGTTTAGTTTTGATGCAAAATTTTAAATAATTTTACGGAGCGCCGAGCGTGCGTGTGCACGCGCACGCGCTATCACGTATTTGATGTAATGCGAGTAGGCCGAGTAATTAACGGGAAAAATATATTGGAGTACATAATATCGAGAAATTCACCAGTGCGTTGGTGGCTATGATAATTTAATAGATTCAAATTAAAGTCACCCATTATGTAGCACAAGAAGTTCTATTGCTCACTCATATTAAGACTGGCATGCACTGTAACTGCAACTGCACTGTAAATTGATTCAAATTTGCATGTTATTGGGGACATGGGGGTTTGGATCAATGAATGCTAACATCTTGGCAGTTGGCCATTTAATATTTGGAACTTCACTAGTTTACTTCTCTAATTTTTACTTGCGGGAACCACTGAGCATTTTTATAAAATACACAACAACGGTAACTCCGAATAAAGACAACATTTTTGATTCATGGTAACTCCGAATAAAGACAAGATTTTTGACAACATTTTTTCAACAACACACAATGACAACAAGCTGCTTTGTTTCGTGTAAGGACAAAACACCAAAGGAATTTCAGAGTTCTATTGTCTACAAATTCTCCTGTCCAGGCTGTTCTAAATCTTACATAGGAAAGACCGACAGATGCCTTCACACAAGACTCAATGAACATGCTACAATTGACAAATCTGAGATTTACAAACACATCAACACTTGCGAACACTTCACCTACATCACCAACCTAATGAAACTTAACATCGACGATTCTGACACAAACGAACGCTTTGACCTGTGCTCTAATATGACGTACTCATGGACGAACTAGACGACCAGAGCTAGGAAAAACATTGGGTACTTCCTCGGGTAGAAGAATTTGCATCACAGATTACGTCATCAGTTAGTTATAGTGATTAGTGTTGGGGTTAGGGTTAGGATAAGGGTTAGGGTTAGATTAAGGATTAGGCTTAGAGATAGGGATTGGGTTATATCTGACGCCACAAACAACACAACCAGCCGATCACGTGATCAGTTCTCCTCTACCCGAGGAACTATCCAAAACACCTAATTTACCCAATTATCCCTCACTTATCCACCGATACTTGTAAAAGTCGTGTTATTTTGAAGTTGTATATTTCGAACAAGTTGTATATTTCGAAAAAGTTGTATATTTCAAGACAAGTTGTATATTTCAAGACAAGTTGTATATTTCGAACAAGTTATATATTTCGAACAAGTTGTATATTTCGAACAAGTTGTATATTCCGAACAAGTTGTATATTTCAAACAAGTTGTATATTTCAAGACAAGTTGTATATTTCAAGACAAGTGGTATATTTCAAGACAAGTGGTATATTTCAAGACAAGTTGTATATTTCGAACAAGTTGTATATTTCGAACAAGTTCTATATTTCGAACAAGTTGTATATCAGTCGAACAAGTTGTATATCAGTCGAACAAGTTGTATATAAACTGGAACAAGTTGTATATTTCAAAACAAAAGTTGTATATATCATACAAGTATTTAATATCAAACAAACTAAGTATTATAAACACGTAACAAACATTATTTAACAAGAACTAGTATCAATAATTCCACAAAGTAATATTGTCCGGTTTGGCACGCCATATTATAATCTTTTTATCTGAAGTTTGCAAAGAGTTCGTAGCGATTTTCCGTACCCAGTTCGTGGCATTAGTTTTGTAATGTATATATTGTTTCAAAGTTGATACAACATTTAACAAATGTTTGTGCCATCTGTGCTGCCATAATTGACGTAGAATATCACTCTCATGCATGAGCATTTGTAAAAAGCAAGATGCCATCTCAGGCGTGCACATACAACGAAAGATTCCTACTGTGAAACAATAGTTCGAAGTCCTTTCTCGTTGCTTAATTTAAACAAAACGCCTGCTCAGGCGTTCACACTGGCCTGGGAAATGGCAACTTTCCTGGAGGGTGTAATGTGTAGTAGATAAGTAGTTAAGGATACAGGGGGTCTGGACCATATAAATACAATCATGATTAGCAACTATCAACCATAATATACCAAGACGCCGGCTCAGGCGTACCCTCTGCCGCTCTGGCTACGGGCAACTCAACCTGACAAGCCAGGCCCACTGTAACTATGATCATCAAAATCAACCGTAAATAATGATGGGTTAATAATAGCAAATAAATTATATAGTCCTTGATTTTTCATGCCATTATATGGCTCGTTTTAGGTGCTAAAAAGTTCATAAACATAGACGATTCTTCTAAAAAATACCAATTTGCTTCCATTTATAAGATAAACTGATCCCAACCCCAAATAGACTGCGAGCGGTCCCTCCTTTCCGCGGGTTTAGATTTCCGGGCACGAGATTTCCGGGCACGAGAAAGGAAAGGAGGGACTGCAGACAACACAGTAAGAAATGAAATCCCCGTTGTCCACACAACGCAAAATTAGTAGATAAGTAGATAGGGATCATATAAATACAATCATGATTAGCAACTATCATAAACAACAATTTGAACAACAATTATAAACAACAATTTGAAATAATTAGCGTTAACGAAAGCATGCTTGACCTGTCTGTCTCAAATCAAGAGATCAAAATTAATGGTTATGATATAGTAAGAAAAGACAGGAATAGGCGTGGTGGTGGAGTCGCAATATACATAAGAACCTCAATAAACTTCATAATAAGAGACGATTTAACTGACGATAATCTCGAAACAATTACACTTGAAATTTGAAATATTCAATGCATTCGAGGATTTAATTACTCAAATGGACTCTGAAAACAAGGAAATAATTTTACTTGGAGATTACAACTGCGATTGGTCTCGCTTGGATAGTAACAGCGCTAACGCTCAGACAAACAAGCTTGCTGGAATTGCACAGACATTCCAATTTCAACAATTAATTAGTGAACCAACGCGAATTACAGCTAATAGTAAAACCTTAATAGATCTATAGCATTCACCAAT